CCGACCGGGCGAGCTGGGCAGGTGCGCGGCGCCGGGTTTGCGTGGGCGGCGCGGGCCGCAGGTGGCCGGACGGACGCGCCTGCCACTGGGCTCTTGCTGGGGCTGACGAGGCAGGCGGGAGTGCGGCTGGGACTCGTCGGGGACGCCCGGACTGGCTGGAGGAGGCCGAGACCAGCGGCCGCAACGCGTGGGTGGGGGAGGGCCCGGGGCTGACCTGCTTTTCCGGCAGTGGCAGTGGGTGAGTGTTCTCGAGCTGGCCAGCTGGGCAGTGTGGGACGTGGTCTCTGTGGGCTCCGAGGCTTCCTCCTTTGAGGCATGGCTGCCTCCATGTGCGCTCCTAGCCCCCACCACCCCCCTCCTCCCCCCCAAGACCCTCAGTCCAGGATGGACTCTGGGTCCCCAGCACGCTTCTCTCAGGCCAGTCTCGCCGAGCCAGCCGGACATGCCCCTGTTACAGACCCTCTGCGGTCGGTCCCCAAGTAAATGAGTGTGCAGTGCCCACTGTACCTCCAGGCTGGACCTGTGTGGATGCCCCAGGGCGCACCCAATGTGCCGTGCTGGCTGGCCTGTGGGTGCAGTGTCTTCAGCGCTCTGGGCTGGGGTCTCCCGTGACATCAGGGTGCCGCTGCCTGGGTTGGGTCACTCTGGGAGGTCTCGGGCTTTTTTCTTGCAGGGTGGGGTGGGCTCCTGTGTGAGCACTGCCCCGGTGGGCGCGGTGGCTTGGGGGTCCGGGGCTCTGGGCGATGGCCCCGCTGTGCCCAGGACACAGGAGCGGGGGGCCTCGGCTGCCCCGGGTCTCAGCGAGGGTGGTGGGCGGGTCTGGGCAGGGCAGCCTCAAGAAGTTCCCCTGGACGGTTGTGAGGCCGCTGTCCACCCACCCTGGGAGACGTCTGAGGTGCCCAGTCCCGGGAGACACACGTCATCCTGGTGCTTCTTCTGGATGTTTCCAACCCCCCCCCGCCCCCCAGAGGGAGGGGCATTGTGTCCCAGCACCCAGACTCCCCTGGCCCCTGGCAGGGCCTCAACAAGTATGGGGGAGGTGGCAGCCCTGGAGTCCCCCCCTTCCAGGCGGACCGAGACCCGGAAGGAGCAGCACGGGGGGGGTCCTGTGGCCCTGGAGGTCGTCCACATGGGCTGAGGTCAGCAGCCGCGCGGCTTCCCCCCTGGGGTCTCTCACTCGGCCTGTGTGGCCTGCGTGTGCTTTGGAAATGGGGACGGCCGCTCCCCGGACCACTGAGGCATGGGAGGGGCGGGTGTGAGCTTGGAGGAGCAGCTACAGAGGGCCCTGCCTGGGCACCCCACAGGTGTGATGTTGGGGTGCACTCCTCCCAACGGAGGTGCCCTACCAAGGGGTGACACAAGCTATGCAACGTCCGTCATCTGACAGATTCCGGGTGGATCGGGATAAGCTCTGAAAAATCAGACTGTCCACTGCTAACTTATGTTACGACCTCCCTTTTTTGAATAAACATAATATCAAAATATTCTGAGCAACATTCAGTTTACAACTGGATTGACTTAGCTGCAAAAGGCAGCTGCTGGTTCAGACCAGCTGCCCCAGGGTGGGAAATCCCTCTGTTTCCTGAGACAAAAGCCAAGCCCCAGGAGAGAGAAGACCCAAGGGCATAAAAAACTCCTGGGAAGCTTCCTTGGTTTCTTTGAATAAAAGTAAACTTCAAATAAGGCTCCCAGGGCATAAGGACTCATGGACAAAACACAGGTGTTTGTTTGATGTACAACTGTACGACTTTCTCTTAATTTACTCCCTTTTAGAGCAAGCACTAACTACTCTTTGATAGCCTCAAATTACCCATGAGCGTTAGCTTTTCCTGAGACAATCACTGATAACACTGCTAACACAATTTATCACTACCCCAAGACCCCTAACAACCTTTTGCTAACAAGCTCCCCCTTTCCCAGACCCCTCTTCCTTTGATGATAGCTAGACAGCAATATATATATGATAACTGTCACAAAACGTATAATTTAGCATACCATAAATTGTAAACAGAAGAATGCTTTTTCCCTTGTCCTTGAGGATGTTTTATGGAGATATCTCATTAACTTGCCCTATGCATTATTACAATGAACTACTTGCTACACAGTATAAAGACCTGCTGAAGGAAAAGCAGGAAGACTTGCACCCTATCCTGGCTCCCGTGTCTTCCTGGCACCAGCTCCTGTCTCCCCTTTTAGAATCTCCGCTCGCCGATGCCTTCCCATCTTAGGGTCCTGCCTGTGCTGCCTCCAGACACCTCAAAAGTTGGAGCTGGTCTCTGACACAGGGGTCGCCGCCAGCACACTGGGATCAAGTAACACTCACATTGCCTCCTTCAGCTCTGGACTCTGGGGACCCACAGACGCCCTGGGGTGGCCCCTTGTCCACTGTCCATCCTGACTGGCCGCTCTAGCCTGCAGCCGGCTCAGCAGCTCCTGCCTCCGAGGCTGCCCGGGGCCCAGGAGGGGAGGCCCTCCCCGGGTCCCACATACGGGAGCGGATGACCTCCTGACCTCGGCGCCCTCTCCTGCGGCGGCGTGTCCTGGGCGCCGGACCCCCGCTCCCGCCCCTGCTCCCAGAGGTGCCTGCTGCTGACAGGAGCGCCAGGGGCCGCGCTGTCCAGGGAACCCTGTGTGCGTCGGGATGTGGTCAGGCCCGGGCAGCCGCTGCCCTGAGGAAGGCACGCTGGGGGTGCGAGCCGCCCCAGTGATGGGGGGTACCGGCTCTGGGGGAGCTCAGAGCTGCGACCCAGCCAGTGTGGCCGCAGGGCAGGGCCCGGTCACCCCTCCGACGCCTGCAGCCTGCTGACCCTGAGGCTCAGCGCTGGCCTTTCCTCTCCTACCAGTCCCCCGCCGGGCTGCACCCCCCCAGTCCCTTGTCCCAGGAGAACTGGTGTCCATGGGCCCAGGGACGGGCTGCCATTGTGGCCTCCCCAGGGTCTCTGGCCAGCGCCTAGTCCCCTGGCCCCGCCCTGGCCCCGCCCTGGCCCCGCCCCTCC